TTCAGCTCTTTGATTTCTTAATTTCTTCCTTTAGCTATGGCTTCTTGGTGCTCTAATGCAATACTCAGAGTCAAGACATCCATCTTGGTCTTTTTTTCTTCTTCTTCAGCCTTTGTAATGATCTTTTGCATTCTTCATGGACAATTTTCTTTATATCCTTCCAGAGCTTATTTGGTCTACGCTCCTTGGTGCTCAAACCTCAAACCTGTTCCTGAGATGGTTTTGAAATTCGAATGGGACAGACTTAAAAGTCAAATCTTGGTTCCTGTGGACCTGATTTAATTTTCCTCAACTTCAGCTTGAATTTGCATATGAGTAGTGGTGGTCTGTCCCACAACCAGCACCTGGACTGATTTTCACTGCTGATATTGAGCTTCTCACCGAGTCTTTCCACAAATGTAATCTATTTGATTCCTGTGCATACCATCAGGTGAAATCCATGTGTATAGCCTGTGTTTATGTTTCTTATAAAAGGTATTTGCAATGAATAAATCACTGAATGTGCAGAACTCTATCATTCTATTTCCAGCCTCATTTCTCTCACCAAGTCTGTGTTTTCCAGCTACTGATCCTTCGTCCCTGTTCCCAACTTTTGTGTTTCAGTTGCCCATTATTATCAATGCATCTTGATTGCATGTTTGATCAATTTCTGACTGCAAAAGTTGGTAGAAATCTTCTATTTCCTTCTCTTTGGCTCTAGTTGTTGGTGGAAATTATTGAACAATATCATTAATACCACGTGCAAGCAAGATTCTGCTGAAAATTCTGCGTTCCAGTCACCCATTATTATCAATGCATCTTGATTGCATGTTTGATCAATTTCTGACTGCAAAAGTGGGTAGGAATCTTCTATTTCCACCTCTTTGGCTTTAGTTGTGGATGGAAATTACTGAACAATATCATTAGTATCACATGCAAGCAAGAGTCTCCTGAAAATTATCCAAAAATGTCTGGAACAATATGTCAACAAAGAACTGCCAGATCTGCAGACTAGATTGAGAAGAGGTCATAGTACTAGGGATATTACAGCTAATGTTAGATGGATCTTGGCAGAAAGCAGAGAATACCATAAAAATGTCTATCTGTGCTTCACTGACTATGCAAAGGCTTTTGACTGTGTGGATCACAACAAGCCACGGCTGACTCTGAGAATAGGAATCCCAGAACATTTGATTGTGCTAATGCAAAACCTATAATTGGGCCAAGAGGCAGTCGTCAGAAAAGAGCAAGGGACACTACATGGTTCAAAATCAAGAAGGGGGTCAGTTAGAGATGTATTTTGTCTCCATACCTTTCAATCTGTACGCAGAACAGATCATCTGAGACACTGGGCTGTACAAGGAGGAATGTGGCATCATGATTGGCGGAAGAGTCATCAACAACCTGCGTTATGCAGATGACACAACCCTTCTTGCTGAAACTGAGGAGGACCTGAAGCAGAAGGTCAAGGACTGCAGCCTTCAATATGGATTGAAGCGCAACATCAAGAAAATAAAGATTCTCACTACTGGACCAACTGGCAGCATCAGTATGGATGGTGAAGAGATTGAGATAGTTAAGTTTTAGTTTACTTGGTTCCACAGGTCAACACTTTTGGTAACAGAAGCCAGGAAATCAGGAGACAAATTGCATTGGGAAAGTCAGCTCTGAGGGACCTCTCAAGAGTACTGAAGAGCAACGACATCAGGCTGGACACTAAGGTGCGCCTGATCCAGGCTATAGTCTTCGCAATTACGTGCTATGCAATAGGGATGATAGAGAATTGATGCCTTTGAGCTGTGGTGCTGGAGAGGAGTGTTGAAAATACCATGGACTGCTAGAAGAACAAATAGGTTTGTCCTGGAGAAGGTGAAGCCAGAGTGCTCCTTGGGCACATTGCAAGGAGGGACAGGTCTTTGGAAAGCGAAATCATGTTTGGGAGAGTGGAGGGACGGCACAGGAGAGGAAGACTTTCAATGAGATGGATCGATTCTGTGAGTGGAGTGGTGGGAATGAATGTGTTTGAGACGGCAAGTTTGGCACAGGATAGAATGGTGTTTAGGGCTCTTGTGCATAGGGTAGCTATGAGTCACAAGCGACTCAATGGCACATAACAACAACAACCACCTTTGAAAGTAGAAGGGCCAATGAAAAAGAAGACCCTTAACATGATGAAGTGACACAGTGCTTGCAACAATGAATTAAATCACAATCAGAGGAGACTGTGAGGATGGCACAGGATTGGAAAAGTTTGTTTTGTTGGTAGGGGTTACTATAAGTCAGAGCCACCTCAACAGCACGTAAGAAGATGGTTACTCAAACTAGGCAATCTTGATAATTTAGTAAGATAAAATCCTGACATCAATTTTAGTAACAGCCAATTAACAAGATTTCTTTACCAAAAATCTCATTTATTCAAAAACGTTTAAACTGACAATTTTGAGAATCTAAAATTTTGCTTAACTTTTACCATAAATTCTCAAATTTAGTTAAATACCAAGATGAATATCTAAACAAGTTGTCTGGATTTTTTTTTCTCCTTTTCACCTAGTTTCATGCTAAAGAAAGCCATAGCTACGCTTTCTACTTGTCTAGGAAAATACTAAAAATAAAGGAGAAAAGAGGAGTAGTGTTTCAACACTGTTTTCAATGAAACTACCATTAATCAATATGAATTGTTGTTGTCATGTGAAGTCAAGTTGCCTGTGATTCACAGTGACCCTATGTACAACAGTCTCAAACCCTGTTCTATCTTGTGCCAATCTTACTGTCTCTGACACACTTACCCTCATTACCCCAGTCACGGAATCAATTCATCTCATCGAGGGTCTTTCTCTCTTGTGACTGTCCCTCCACCCTCCCACGCATAATGTCCCTCTCCAGGGACTTGCCCTACCTTGCCAACATGTCCAAAGTATGTCATTACATCTCAATATTAAGAAAACAAAATTCCTCACCTTTGGGCCAATAGGCAGTATCATGATAGATGGGAAAAGGACTGAACTGTCAATAGTTTCCTCTTGCCTGAGTCAACAATTGGCACCCTCGGTTGACAGAACAAGCAGTCAAGAGGTCAGGACATTTATTGCTTTGGCAAGTCTGTTATCAGGGATCTCCCCAAAATATTGAAGTGTAATAATGTCAGTGTGAAGCTTACAGTGTGCCTGATTAAGGTTATGGTCTTTTCAACCACTTGTTATGTATCTGAGAGTGAATCCAATGAATAAGGATGACAGAAGAATTTTGATGCCTTTGAGTAGTAGCATTGGGAAAAAAGGTACTGAATATCCTGTAGACTACCAAAAGAACAAATAGTTATGGCTTGTACAAAGTGCAGCCAGAATGCTTCTTGGAGGCAAAGCTTCCACTCCTGTTGAAGAATCAGCACAAGAGAGGAAGACTCTCAATGAGATGGACAGACACAGTGATTGCAGCAACAGGCTCAAGAGTGTCAGTTGACGAGGGTGTACAAAGGGTCGCTAATGAATTTGTACTCAATGCCACAACACCTAACAACAACCACAGTTAACTTATAATTGAAATACATCTTTTAAGTTAGACAAAGTTAGGTGTGAGGAAGCAAGGAAATAAAAAGTTTAAGAATGTTAAGTTTTCCTAGATGTGTAAGAACAAACAAATGTTTGCTTTGAATCTCAAATGCATTACAGATAAGCACTTTCATCAATGGCTAATGATTTCAAACCGAGAACAATGCTGTAAAGGCCGTATGTTACTAGAAACTACTAATCTCGACATAATGCACCTCTTGATACAGAGTGTAGCAATTAACACTGGGTTAATGAGGAGAAATGTGGGGTCAAGATTGGTGGACGATTTATCAATAATCTGCGTTATGCGGATGACACAACCCTGCTTGCTGAAACAGAGGACCTGAAGCACCTGCTGCAGAGTGTCAAGGACTGCAGCCTACAATATGCATTGAGGCTCAATGTCAAGAAGACAGAGATTCTCACCACTGGACCAATTGGCAGCATCAGGATGGATGGTGAAGAGATTGAGATTGTACACAGCTTTAGTTTGCTTGGCTCCACAGTCAACAGTCTTGGCACCAGCAGCCAGGAAATTAAAAGGCGTATTGCGATGGGAAAGTCTGCTGTTAGGGACCTCTCCAAAGTACTGAAGAGCAGTGGTGTCTCTCTGGAGACTAAGGTGCGTCTGATACAGGCCATGGTCTTCGCAATCACTTGTTATGCATCAGAGAGTTGGACAATGACCAAGGAGGATAGAAGGAGAATTGATGCCTTTGAGCTGTGGTGCTGGAGAAGAGTATTGAGAATACCATGGACTGCTAGGAAAACAAACAGATTTGTCCTGGAAAGGGTTAAACCGGGTGGCTCCTTGGAGGCAAGGATTCTGAGGCTCCATCTAACTTACTTTGGACATGTTGTGAGGAGAGACCGGTCCTTAGAGAGGGACATCATACTTGGGAGGGTGGAGGGACAGCGCAGGAGAGGAAGGCCCTCTATGAGGTGGATTGATTCAGTGACTGGGATAATTGGGATGAGAGTGTCAGAGACAGTGCGATTGGCACAGGACAGAGCGGAGTTTAGGGCTGTTGTACATAGGGTCGCTATGAGTCGCAAGCGACTCGACGGCACACAACAACAACAACAACAACAACAACATATTTTTGAGTCAGTTCCAGTTATACTGATCAGAAAACTCCTTTGGGATTCTGTGGCAGTACAGTAACTCTTTTTAGTAGCAGAGTGTAACCATCTTTCTCCACTATTCCTGCTAGTGGGTGGGTTGTGCCTTTCAGTTAGGAATCCAAAACAACCCACAACGCAATCCGAGCTCCTTCTTTCTAAGCCAGGAGGGGCTGTCACTACCAGAGGGGACTAGGAAGGCACTGGCTAAAAGAAAATCTAAGTGAGGTGAGTGGCGGAATCTACTTTGTGAATTAATGAGTTCACGTCTAGGGCAAGCAAGCCCAAGACACCGCGGGGATAAGAATATCGCGCATGCTTTGGCCGCGTCCGCTCGTTCCCCTTGCTTACCTTCCGCTGTTGCTGCTTCCACCGCGTGAACATTAAGTGTCGCCTCTGCTTGTTCTTAATCTCCGAAATACTAAAACCAGGGGGAAAGGCAGCCGCTTTCGGCGGGTGGACCCCACCTTCCACGTTCCCATCTCCAGAGTTTGTAGTCTCCTCTGGTTCTTCGGAAACAGCTTTTCGTTTCAGGGCTTTCTTCCCATCACTAACATTCCCGCCGGCCTTCTCCATCGTGTTTGCTCTTTAGCCTCTGTACGGAAACGGAAGTGCTTTTACTCTGACCTCGGCTTTAAGCTTTTACTTCCGGGGTGGCACAGGTGTTGACACCTCCTGGGTAAGGCTTAAGGCTTTGACTTAGACGCAAGCCTGGATTTCCAGTGGAGAATTTTCACAGGCTTTGAGCCCCATAGGGAACATAGGGTCGCTATGAGTGGCAAGCGACTTCACGGCACATAAAATATGAGTCACAAGCGTGGAGGTTCCACATCTCTGTCCTATAGATTAAAACCTCAGGCTATACATAGCCTTGAGGTTAACCGCCCAGCTCCCGATGGACTACATACACTTATGTTACTTGTTAGGTTCCATCGAATCAACTGAGTATCAATACTGATTTTATAAACAGCAAATTTTTTAAAAAATATTACCCTGCCCTGCAGCATCTTAACAATCCCACTTTACTAAAGATAAAAAAAAAAATCCTCCCGCTCTAACTCTCCACTTTTCTGAGCCTGTCTTTTCCCAAGGTTTTTCCTACTGAAAACATTCTCAAAATTATGTGAGAGGAAGATGCACCATCCTTGCCTCTTAAAGGAGTCCCGTGTTTGCACTTCCTTCAAGGCTGACTTATTTATTCTTTTCGCAGTCCATGGGATATTCAGTACTCCACCACCAAAACGCAAAGTCATCGATTCTTCTGTCATTCATTATCTAACTTTCAGATGCAAACAAATCAATTGAAAATAACATGGGGACGTCATTATTCTTTAGGACTTTGGGGAAGTTCTTCACAACAGCTTTTCCTGACCCATCTTTAGATTTCTTGACTGCTGTTATCATGGGTGTTGATTGTAGATCCAAGTCCAAGTAAATCGTTGGCTACTTCAATTCTTTCTCCATCATGATGTTTTCTATTGGTCCGGTAGTGAAGATTTTAATTTTCTTTAATTTGATATGTAAACCATATTGACGGCTGCGGTTGTTGTTCTTTTGTAGCAAGAGCTTCACGTCCTTCCTCTTCACTATTTATGTAAAGTTGTATTATCTGCATAATGCAGATTGTTGAGGCGTCTTACTCCAATCCTGGTGCCAGGTTCTTCATATTGTCCATCCTCTCAAATTATTTACTTAGCAAATGTTGTTAAGTGCCAACGAGTTGCAGGCGATTCATAGCGACCCTATGAACGAAATTCCTAGATACCTCCTGTGTAATTTTTGTCCTTTCTGCAGGTTCATAGGGTTTCAAGAGGCAAGTTATTGTAGGAATGGATGCCACTCCTGCTTCCAAACTTGTTTTAATCGGGGAGCTTCACCAAATACTGTCCACCATTAGTATAATAAATATTAAAAAAGAATACAGCTTTCTTTTTTTTTTTTTTTTTGAGAATACAGCTTTCTGACACACACCTTTCCTGATTTTAAGCGGTGCAGTGTTTCTTTGTTCCAATCAGACAACATGTTTTTTCAATATATAGGTTTTGCATGAATAAGTGTTCTGGGCTTCATATTCATCATATTGTTAGCCATAATTTGTTATGATCCGCACAGTTAAATGATTTTGTCTAGTCAATAAAACACAAGTAAACATCTTTCTAGTATATTCTGCCTTTAGCCAAGATCCCTCTGATACCACCAAGGATATTACTTGTTCCAAAGCCTCTTCTGAATCCAGCTTGAATTTATGGCAGTTCCCTAATAATGTACTGTTCCAGCCATTTAAAGACAATCATCAGCAGGATTTTACTTGCATATAATATTAATAATATTGTTCAATTATTTCTATATTGTTTCAGAACACCTTATTTTGGAATAGAAACAAATACAGATTTTTTACCCCCTGTGAGTTGACCATGTAACTGGCTTGGCATAGACTAATGAGCATTTCCAAGGCTGCATCTGTTTATTGAAACACCTCAATTGATATTCCATCAATTCCAGTTTAGCTTTAATTTCTTCCTTCATTGTTCCTGAAATGACTACATGTCAACCCTATGTATTCCTTCTATCTTCTTTGGTGCATATATTATTCAAAATTTGTTCAGAATATCCTTCAGTGTTGTAACTTGAGGCTTGAATTTATTCTTCAGTTCTTTCAGCTTCATAAATGTTAAGCATGTCCTTCCCTTTTGCTTTTCTAACTCCCCACTTCGTGTATTTTATTGTAATATTTTATTTGTCTTCTCCAGGTGCCCTTTGATATTCCTGTTCATCTCAGTTACTTCAGCATTTCTTCCCTTTGTTTTGGCCTTCAACCTTCTAGTAAAAGTTTTAGTTTCTCTTCCGACCCATTTTGGCTCTTTTTTCCCCCTCTTTTGTCTTTGTAATGACCTTTTGTTTTCTTCATGGATGATATCTTTGATATCTTCCCACAACTCACTAGCTCTTCTAACTAGTTCTTAAAATCTATCCAGATAGATTTTAAATTCAGGTATGATAAATTTAAAGTTGTATTTCAGTTATTTTTGAAGTCTTTTAATTGTCCTTGCCTTCAGTTTGAACTTGGATGTGAGTTGCAAACTGATGGTTATTCCACAGTCAGCCTCTGGCCTTGTTTTGAATGCTAATACTGAGCTTTAAGGAAGTTACAAAAAAGATTTGATAATTCATCTATTATTCAAATATACACAGTAAGCACTAAAGTCAAAGATGAAGGAATTCAGGACTTCTTCCAACTTTTACTTTCTGAAATTTATGGGACATGCAATCAAGAAACATTAATAATAATTAATGACTGGAATAAAAAAGGTAGAAATGATGACAGACTAGTAGAAAATATAGGCTTGGTGACAGAAATGAGGTTGGAGCTCAGATAATAGAATTTTGCACAACAAATGATTTATTCATTGCAAATATCTTTTTTTAGAAAACATACATTATCTATACACATAGTCTGATGGACTACACAGGAATCAAGTTGTCTATATCTGTGGAAAGAGTCAATGAAGAAGCTCAAGATCAGCAGTCAAAAAACATGCCACTATGATCTCCCAACCAGGTTTCTCCTTAATGATAAGGATGGTGAAAATTCATCTTACATCAGTTCTTGGAAAAAGAGACACAATGCTGAGAAAGATACAAGGACAGAGAAGTCTATGAACAACAGATCTGAGCCTTGCTGTATTCGGTGCCATCTTCAATCTCTGACAGGCTTGAGCCCGTTGTTATTGTTATTGTGTCAGTTAATTCTGTGAGGGTCTTCCTCTCTTTCTCTCTCTCTGACCCTCTACCTTTCCTGACATGATGTTTTCTTCCAAGGTTTGGCTCCTCCTGAGAACATGCCTGAAGTATGTGAGATGGAATTTTACCAACCTGACCTCTAGAAGGATCAACCTGATTGTACTTTTTCCAAGAACAAACTTAAAGTTACTTCCTATGCATCTGAAAGTTGGACAGTGAATAAGGATGGCTTAAGAAGGATTGATGCCTTTGAATTGTGGTTGTTGTTGGTGTTAAGTACCATAGAGCCAGCCGTAGATGACACATAGCAACCCTATGAATGAAAGACCTGAACACTTGTATAATTATCATCGTTTCTCCAAGTTGATAGAATTTCCAGAGGCAAGCTTTTTGGAAGTGGATGCCACTCCTACTTCCAAGCTTGTTTAAAGTGGGGAGCTCCACCCAACACTGTCCACCATGTTGTTGTTGTTGTTGTTATATGTGCCATCGAGTCGCTTGTGACTCATAGCTACCCTATGTACAAGAGCTCTAAATGCTGTTCTATCCTGTGCCAACCTAGCCATCTCAAACGCACTTATTCCCACTGCTCCAGTCACAGAATCGATCCATCTCACCAAAGGTCTTCCTCTCCTTTGCTGCCCCTCCACTCTGCCAAACATGATGTCCCTTTCCAAGGACCAGTCCCTCCTTGCAACATGCCCAAAATATGTCAGACGAAGCTTCAGAATCCTTGACTCCAGGGAACACTCTGGCTTCACCCTCTCCAGGACAAACCTGTTTGTTCTCCTAGCAGTCCATGGTATATTCAGCACTCTTCTCCAGTACCACAGCTCAAAGGCATCAATCCTCTTTCTATCAGCCCTATTCACTGTCCAACTCTCTGATGCATAGCACATAACTGCTAAGACTATAGCCCGGATCAGGCGCACCTTAGTCTCCAGCCTGACATCGTTGCTCTTCAGTACTCTTGAGAGGTCCCTCACAGCCGACTTTCCCAATGCAATTCGTCTCCTGATTTCCTGGCTGCTGTTACCAAGAGTGTTGACTGTAAACTAAATTAAATTAAAGTAAATTTAAACTGTTAACTATCTCAATCTCCTCACCATTCATGCTGATGCTGCCAATTGGCCCAGTGGTTAGAATCTTTGTTTCCTTGACATTTAGCTTCAGTCCACATAGGAGGCTGTAATCCTTGATCTTCTGCAGCAAGCGCCTCAGGTCCTCCTCAGTTTCAGCAAGCAGGGTTGTGCCATCTGCATAACGCAGGTTTTTGATGATTCTTCCACCAATCCTGATTCCACATTCCTCTTCACCATGGGTAACCATTATTACATTTGACACATCAGTGTTACAGTGTTTAGCATCACCACAACCACAAGTTACCTCTGTACAGAAAGTGGACAGATCAGTGCTATACCACTTAGAAGAATGCTTGACCAATAACAAAACCAGGCCTGAGGGCTGCAGATTAAAATCACCCACCTTTGTCTTGGTAGCATAACTTTCTGTCCACTAGGTCAACAGAACTCTCTCTATGTTGTTGTTATTGTTGCTAAGTGCCATCGAGTCGTAGACAACTCCTAATGTGAAATGCTGTATACCATAAATCTGGAACTGACCCATAGCTGACCTTCTAGAAGGTTTTGAGAGACACTAAATCACTTAAGAGGAAATTGCCCATCTTTTGCCTCAGAGCAGCTAGTAGATTCAAACTGAATGCCTTTGGGTTGATAGCACAAATCCTTAACACTAAGCTCTCTCATAAAAGGTTGTTGTTGTTATGTGCTGCTGAGTCTCCTGCAACTAGTAGCGACCCTATTTACAACAGCCCTAAACCCTACTCTATCCTGTGCCAATCTTATTGTCT